GGCCAGCTCCCAGCCCTTGTTTCCATGGCTCAGAGCTGGCAAAACCTCAGGCTGGACCAGGGCAGGGGGCTCAGGGGCTGCCCAGCCACCTGCAGCCTGGTGCGGGAGGGCAGGGTGGCTGCAGACAGCACGAGGAGCCGAAAATTCCACCAGACGCCCGAAAGGGAGCTTCCAATTTTGCGTTTCCAGCAGCACCAAGAGCTTCCCAGCCTGAACTTCAGGCTTCCCAGCTCCTGCTGAGCTGGTCAGAGCTGAGCCCTGGGACGGGCAGGGTGCAGGCTGGGCAGAGGGCAGAGTCCTGCCGGCGGGTCACTGCGGGGACAGGGGCACTTACACAAGCGGCAGGGCGGTGACGCAGGCACAGCTGGCTTCTGGCCAGGCCTGGATGGCCACCAGGAGCTGGAGCTGCCTGCAGTCCCCCTCCAGCTGCCCAACCAGAGCGCCTGCACTGAGCACACCCCAGGGGAAAGTCCAGCCCGGGGCTTGGCTGCCGGCTCCGTGTGACAGTCCCTCTCCAATTGCACAGTTATCATCTGGAAACCCATGGCTGGCAGGTTTCTTTACTGAGGCACCAAGGCACCATGAAACCAGGGTAACAGAGCGTGAAAAATAAAAGCTGCATTTACTTCCAAAGATGAAAACTGGCATCATTTTACATGACAATTGCAGTGCCCAGCCAAAGGTCCTTGGCATCCCTGTATTGATACCACAGTTCTCCATCACTTTGCTTTTCAACAGGAGCCCAGACAGCAGCAATGAAAGAAAAATGTCAAGAAGACTGTCCTTTCACCTGGACCCTTCCTCTCCATTTGCTCACTGATCTCCGCTTGTGCAAACATCAGCCAGATGCACATGGGATAGCTGAGATCAATTCCTCAAGGAACTTCTCTCTTTGAACCAAGTCACGTGCACCTAAAATTAATAATATCTTTTGTGTATTTTCAGAAGGATTCTATTTTCCATAGAAGGCTAGTAGGGCTCTTGAATCACCCCCAAGGAATGCCAAGCAATCACTGAGTCACACTTTGGAGGTGAATCACCACTGTTCCCAATCTTGGGAACAGAGCCTGTGTGTGTTGAGAACAGCTTCATCAGGGACTTCTTTTTCTTTTACAAACGCCTTTTTTTATTGTCACGCAAGCATGGGCACACTAATTGGCTAAGGAAAGCCAGCACTCAAGAGAGCAGAGAAAAACACATGCAGCACAGCAGGAAGCAGGAAACCTTCTGTCCTCCCTCCTTGGAGATCACAGGAAGAGGTGGTTTGGCCAAAACCCAACTAGAAAAATAAAATTAATAACAAACATACTGCACCACCATTCATTAGTTACTTAAGCACTAAGCTTGCTAGGTGGTGAGCAGCTCCAAGAAATCTGCTGGAACAGGAGATGAGGAGGATGAGCAGCCATCTCCGTGGAAAACCCAAGGTTTTTTCCATGGTGCAGGAGAGCAGAACAAAGCTGAGGATTTGGAGCTCAGAGATGGGCCCAGCTGCCTCATCTCCTGAGCAGGACACAAAGCCAGCAGCTTCCCTGCCACCAAATCTCCAACCTGTCAGCAGCAAAACCCAGGCTACCTATCCCCTTGGCCACTATTGTCAGGGATTTTCTTTGCCCGGCCCTGCCAGAAATGGCAGGGCCATTGGGACAGCTCATGGATTCCTTGGATCCCCAGCCACTCTTCCCTTCCACAAGTATCTGGTCACTGAAAAGGGGAGGAAAAGCTGGTGACAGAGGCTCATGCACAACAAGCATAGAAACAAACTCTCAGTCCCAGGTTTGCCCTTGTGATAGGAGTGCCCAGCCTCGAGAGCAGACAAGCCCAGTCAGGAACCAGGGTTCCCAGTCCTGCACAGCAGTCAAGCCTCTGTCTCTTCTCTACATATTTAAAGTGGAAAGGATATGAATCAGAGCTGAGACATCTACAAGGAATGTTCCACATGCTTGAAAGCAGAGAAATCCAGGCTCCAGCCTTGTCCTTCCCAGGTTCTCCAGCTGCTTCTCCCCCACGCTCCCAGCATTGTCTGCCGAGGCCAGGCTACTTCACTCTGCAGAAAACAAAACTGGAAAAAGTAGTGGGGTACTAATTACCTACCTGTTGTTCAATTATCTTTCTCTGGGTTTTTAGTTTGTTTGAAAGCATTTACATTAGAGCATTTTGCTTAGGGAGGGCTAGATGAGCCTACACACAGCCAGATGTAAGTTTAAGCACCAAGATCTAGGACCCACCTTTGAAAGTGCAGCTGCTCTGTAGATGTTTTTGAAGAGAAAAGCAGCATTGAGACAAAAACATCAGCAGCAGACAACTTGTGAGACGATCACAATCCAGGATATCACAATCTTTCCTTTGATAATCAAAAAGGAAATGAGTAACAAAGACAAACAGATGAAATTACAGATGAGAATAACAGAACTAGCACAAGCCTCCAGGGATGAAACTGGGATGCAATCAGTCAGAGCCAAGAGGGTTCAAACCATCAAAATGGTGCAAGGGATCAAATCCAGCTCTAGAAATGAGGCAGCAAAGTCTGAACAAGGAAGCAAATCAGGTAGAGGATGGGCAGAAAGAAAAGCTACCTCTATCTTCCCAGAAGACTCTAGATATTCTCCCAAGTTGTCGCTGAACCCCTAACAAGCCCTTCCAAAATCTAGGCAAGAAGAGTGGTACCAGGTGACAAAAGACAAACAATGCACCTGCCTTCAAAGGGGAAAGAAAGTTCTTTGCACTATGAAAATTGTCATGAAGAACAACTTGACAATGACAACTGTGGCTGGAATGGAGAGTAACACAAAGAAAGACGAGCAAATTTGTGGTGGGCTGTATGCAGGAGCTGGGGCAAGGAGAGGCTTGAGGAGACAGCAATAAAGAAAGATTTAGAAGACATGATGTGAAAGAAGAATGTTTATTTTTTATAGGGGAAAACAAAGACCAGGCCCATGAAAAACAGTCTGCAAGATTAAAAGACTGGTAGAACAGTGACAGGGATCAAGTAGTGTTGCCCAGGCCAAGATGCACCTCCTGCACCGGGGAAAGCAGGATCAGCTGTATGCTTGGGAAAGATAAGCACCTAGAAAGTCAGAGATCTTATGACATGCCAGGGGAAAAGACAAGTCCCATCTTTCTGATGGCACCTTGCATTTGCTTCCAGCCCTGGAGGCCAATTTAGTCCCTGGAAAGGTCAGAACTGCCTTTCCCCTGTACTCAGAGGCATGCCTACGTTCCTGCCCAAAACCAAAACAGACAAGAGTTTACTGGAAGCTCAGGAAGGTTGTGAAAGCCCCTTCACTTGCAGCTCAGAACGAGGTCACATGTCACACACACAGGCAGCCTGCAGGTAATTCATCCTGAAAGCACAAAGAACAGAGGTAAGATCCTCTCCAAAACCTGACCTCTGCTCAGCAGTGGAACCCAGCCTGTCACGCTGCTGAACAGAGGCAACTCTTCTGAGGTGGCTCTGGAATGATCTTTTCCAATGCTTTCACCATACTTTTTCATCCACTCAGCTCCTGAACTGCCTGGCAGTTGCAGAGTGGGTTACTGGCTCCCTCTGGTTACTGTGACAGGACTGGAAGCATCCTTAGCCTCTCCAGGGCCCCTTTTTCTGGGTGTCCCCCATCCTGTTGAACAGCTGGTGCAGTGGGGGGCTTGAGAGCCACCAAGAGAACACCCCCAGCACCCAAACAAAACCTTCCACCCCGATGATCCTGGAGGCTTTCTCCCACCTAAATGCTTCTACTGCTCTCTCTTGTCTCCAGAGGATGGCTATAACCACCCTAAGCCCAGCAGGCAGCAAACTGGAGAAAAAAAACCTTGACAGCGGGCACTGAACACCAGAATACAGGGAACACAGGGATCAGCTGCTGTGCCCTAATTCCATCTTTCTGTCAAGAGAAAGCCTGAGAAAAAGAGGGATGAGCCAGGGGCGCTGAAGCAGAGCCAGGTGTAATGCCGTGCTGCCAGCCTGTCCTGGTTCCTGCAGCAGCAGCAGCATCTCTCACAGAAGGCATCTGCCTCCCCCGGCCCCCTCGGTAGTTTAGCAAACACATAAAGAATCAAGTATTTCTAGGGGAGGAAAAAAAAAAAGTCCCATTTTCAGCAGGAAGCCCGTTCAGGCTAGCTGCGGGCACTGCCCTAATTCCAGCGCAGGAATTCGGGGCCGCCCTGGGCCCCTGTGGCCTGACACAGGGCGCTGGGGCAAAGAGGCCAGGGGAAGCGGGGGAAACAGCAAACAGGATCACCCACCCCCAGCTCCCAGCTTTGGGGCCCAGACTCCCCTTACCGGGGGCTGTTCCCCGATATTCCCCCCAGCCCAGCGCCTCACAGGCTCCCATAGGGCGGGGTGCCGAGCTGAGGGAGCGCCCCGCTCTCCACGCGGTCCTGGGAACGTGGCGGGCCTGGGCAGGGGGATGCTCGTGTCTGAGGAAGCCATCCCAGTAGAGAACATTATATCCCCAGCGCTGCAGGACCCGCCCGGCTGCGCTGGGAGCCCCGCGGCTGCCGAGCCCCGCTGCTCCCCCAGGGCCGGGCCGAGCCGAGCCGAGCCGAGCCGAGCCGAGCCGAGCAGGGCCGAGCCGGGCCGGGCCGGGCCGGGCGGGGCAGCCCCTGAGCCGTGACGTCTACGGGACCAGGGGGCGCCCCATGCTGACATCACCGGCGGGAAACCTCCCCCGGGCCAGACCACTCCACGGCGGGGTAGGGGAGGCGGGAGCGACCACGGAGCGCGTCCTTCCTACCGCAGCGTCCTCCGCCAGCGACAGCGGGACGGTCGCGCAGCGCGGTCTCGCCGGTCTTTGCGGGCGGGCTCGGTGTGCGGGCGGCGGTGCCGGGAGGGTTTGTTTGTACCTTGTCACTCCCCCCCGCGGGTGAGGGTGGTAGTGCCCGAGGTACGCGCCGCGCGGGGCGCCGCCGCCTGTATAAGCGCGGCCGCGGGGCGGGCACGGGAGCTGCTGCGCTCCTGGTCTCGCCCGATCCTGCCGGTGCCGCTCCGTCCCGCCGGGAGCATGTACCAGAGCTCCGCGCGCTGCCTCTGCTCGGCCCTGCCCGCCCTCTGCTGCGCTCCCGCCGCCTCAGCCTCCCGCCTGCCGCTGCCGCGGCCCCGCTGCCAGCCGCCGCCCCCCGGCCCCGCCGCGCCGCGGGCAGCAGCGGGCGGCCCGCCCGCCCCGGGGACGCCGCCCCGCACAGGTGGGTACGGGCCGAGGAGGGGGCGCAGCCGCCCCGGGAACCGCGCAGGGTCACAGCCGGAGGCTGGTGCCTGGTTGGTGCCGTCGGAGCGGGATCTGGGCTGTGCTGCTCGCGTCAGCGTGTCTCTTGTCCCCTCGCCAGCCTCCTCTCCGGGACTGGACCGGCCCTTGGGGTCTAAGGCAGCGGCCGTGGCGTTCTCCCAGCCGGTGAGAGCGGGCAACATCCCGCGGCACCGCGGCAGGCGCTGCCGGAGAGCCCGCCGGAGCTTCGGGCGTTTCTGGCTCGGTGCCCTCCGTGTGAGGGATGGAGCGCCCTGTGCCCGCACGTAGGCTGGTTGCGGGAGTCAGCCCGGTGTCGCTGCGCTGGCCTGTCCGTGAGCCAGAGCGTCAGTGTCCGTGTGCCGCTGTCAGGAGCCTGCTCTCGGCTCGCTGAGCTGCCCTCTTTAGCTGCACTTGGTGTAGGATGAGCTTGACTCACTCGAGGCTCACTTTTCCCTCAAGGCAGCGTGTGGGAGCAGCCCAGGTTACCCTCTGGCAGGCAGCAGCAGCCATCATGTCCCTATTTGCCTGTACTGTTAAATAATTACAGCCCATTCTTTGTTCCCCACATGAGACCTGGAAAGTGCCCGATGCCCTCGGGTGCCTGTGTGGACCCCACGCACCCCTGAGCTCAGATCCAGCCCTAAGCTGCCTCTCTTGACTCTGGCCGTGGCTCAGAATGCCATCCGGAGCCATTCCTGCTGACAGCTGGGGCAGCATTCACCGTGCTCCTCACTGCTACCGTGGGCAGGGCGATAAGCCCAACTCCTTATCATTGAATGGCTTGGGTTGGAAGAGGCCTTAAAGGTCACCTGGTTCCAGCCTTCCCTCAATGGGCAGGGACACCTCTCACTAGCCCGGGTTGCTGAAAGCTCTGTCCAGGCTGGGCTTGGACACTTCCAGTGATAGAACAGCCACAGCTTCTCTGGGCAATATGTCTGAGGCTGTATGACACATCTGGCATGCAGGAGATCCACTTTGCCCTACTGCCTTCAGCTGGGGCTGGGGTGAAGAGAGTTCCTTCCCTGTTGCTGCTGTTGCAGGAGGAGTGTGGAAGCCAGGTTGGGGCAGGGTGTTTCTGTTGGTCCTGTTGATGCAGGCCAGGATGCCATATGGCAGGATCGAAGCTTCATGGCACTGCAGGGAAGAGGAGCATATGCATCTGAGAGCTGGCAGAATTGAGTTCATGATTAATAAAGCTTTCATGAAGATAAAGGTTTCCAGAGCTTGTGCCAAGTACTGATTCCCTGTATTACTGGAGGCAGGATTTGAGGTTCACTCTTCTTTCTGGTGTTGCCTGTTGAGAACAGGCAGCTTCTGCCTTCCTCTGGTGAGCTCTCATTGCTGTCCCAGACAAGGTTGTACATGTAGAATGATACCTTGGTAGTGTACATTTTGTCACATGGGAATGGCGCCTGTCAGGTTGTTCCTGGAACTGGGGTTCCAAGGAGGGCATTTCTGGCTGCTGCCAGCTCTAGGGCCGTGGAGGCTGATGCAACTCCAGACTGTGGTGTGTGGAGTCATTAACCTAGCAGGGAAAGCTTTGTGGTGAACAGGGTAGGACTTCTGCCTGAGAGTGGTGCGGGGAGGTATGACCTGAAAGGAAGGGAAATGGGAATGTTGTTCACCTTACTCAAAAGGTCAGGGTCCGACACCCTTCTGCAGCCCTTATCTCTGAAATAAAGTATCTGATGGCTCATTGCCCGAGATCCTCGAAGTTCCTCTCTTCTGTGCTGGATGGAGTAAGAAGCCTGCCAACTTTACACCCTGTTCTAACAGTTAACTGTCCCTTTGAATTCTTCCCTTACCCTTACTGTGCTGAGGTGCCACCCTTGCTGAGGAGAAGGAACTTTTTGATTTAAGCACCTTGCACAGTAATTGCTGAGTTGGTATTCTCTGTTATATAACACCAAGAGAATCACTTTCATGTTCACTATTCACTGCTACAATGCAAGCTCAGAAGCCTGCTTCCTTCTCAGGGAGGAAAAAGAGCTTCAGTCTTCTCTTGAGGGCCCAGAGATGATTGTGTGAAAGAGGGTCTAGACTGTAAATTAAACACATTCAGTCCTGGCATAGGTGGCTTGAAAGTTCTTGGCTGAAGCAGGGGGCTCCTTGGGAAGATTCCAGCTTGAGATGACTGCTTATCTGCACAAGTCTGCCTGTGCCCCCACCAGCACCACAGTGTCACAGTACTGGCAGCACACATTGTCCCAGCAAGTTCACTTCACTTGCACTGTGACATTGCAGAGTGGTGACCTTGTGCTTGTATTGTGGCTGGACTGCTGTGGACACGGTTCAGCATTGCAGAAATAACAAAAAATGGATCCTGTGTTTGGAGTTTTCAGGTTCGGGTTGTTGGTCTGGCCCCTGTTCTGCAGAACACCTCAGTCTGTGTTGTCAGGATTCCAGCACTTTGGGTACAAAGAACTTGTGCAGATAAGCAGTCATCTTAAGCTGGAATCTTCTCTGCTTCAGCCAAGAACTTTTAAGCCACCTATGCCAGGACTGAAAGTGCTTAATTTACAGTCTAGACCTCTTGCACACAATCATCTCTGGGCCCTCAAAAGAAGACTGAAGGTCTTTTTCCTTCCTGAGTCATGACTGACTTTAAAAGCTGTCAGATCAGCTCTGGGCCACAGTACAGGCTGGGCTATGCTTTACAGCCCATAAAGAGCTGGATACACCACAATCCCAGGGATGATGAGATTTAGACAATGCTCTGGCTTTGTTTGCAGCTTGGCAGGTGGAGGCTGAGCTTAGCCTTGATCCTGCTGTAACAGCTGTAAGCTGCTCAGGGCTTTGCCAGCAGGCCTGTGACTCCAGCTGTGTTGCACCTACCTTCAGCATCATCCTTCTGACTCAGGTCAAAGCCACAAGCAGCCTAAGAGCTTGCTAATGGCTTCTTGGAGGGTTATTATTATTCCTTTGGAGAGCCCCACATGAGCCATGCTCCTCATCCATGGCACGGCAGGATGCAGGATGCATGTCTGATGCAGCAGAAAGCACTGTGCTTATCTCCACTTGCAGCACTCAGCCGGGGCTTGTACCTGTCCTAAAAATAGGTGAGTGGCTCCCTGTGGAGCATCTATTAAAAGCTCTACTGATTTCTTTGGGTTTCTGCATGGCGGCCTGGCAGCCCTGCTTGTGTGTAATCTGCACCCTTCTGTATCCAGCACAGAGCACGCTTTCATCCCTGCTCCCACTCCCCTCACAGCTGTGGCAGGATCCTGCTCAGGGATTTTGTGTTTTCCCTCACTATTAAGGGCACTTCTACTACTTCAGCAGTACTTGGCTTCTTGAGAAGAAGTAAATTTCTCTGTAAACTGAGAAAGGCTGCAGAAACAGAAACACTACACATAGCTGCTGTGGAAAGATGTGTGTGTGAGCTCAGAATCGCATCTCAGTTTGAGGAACTCCTATTCCTTTTTAACTAAAAGGACAGAGATGAGGAGAAACGTCCTATATGTAATCTAAATTCCCATTTCACAACTTTCTTGGAACTGTTCCATGGGCTTACACATACAAAACACACATTAAAGCAAGTAGTTTTTAGTATCTTTTAAAAGAATCCATTTTCCTAAGTACAAGGATGTGGGGCTTATACTGGAGAGTCTTTCTTTTCCTCCTGAGTATGTTTATTGAACTGTAAGGGTGTCCATCTTACTACCTGCCCCTCTAGCCTGTCATTACTGTATGTCTGTCACCAGATCTTAAAATTGGTGGTGCTGTAGTTCAGTCTGAGCATGCAGGTGTGTTGGGTAGCATGCCAAGTCTTCTGCAAGATGTGATCACAAGATGACAATTTCATCCTCTTCCTTTTTAAGTAACTCAAATGTACAAATAAACCTACTTAAAAACCACTGTGGGGCAACAGCAGTGCAACGCTGAAGTTCTTTTGCTCAAGATTCCCTTTGCAAAAGGCATTCAGAGTAAATAAGTAAGTTGAGACAACAACAGAACTCAGTCAGCATTGCCTCTTATGCAAGTTGCTGTGGTGCAAGCACTGCCCTTCCTGCCTTTGCGTTTGAAGGAGCAAAGCCCTCCCTCCCTGAGACGGGGCTGGAGAGCTCTTGCACACACAGTGTAGCAATACCACAAAATGTGCACAGGGACAAAACAGAGCAGGGACACACGTGCATCCCCATCCCGTGGCAGCTGTGAGCCCATGTGGGATGGGGAGCCCTCCTTGCAGGAGACATGGGGCTGGGTGAGGGCCAGCTGCGTTAGCAGGGAGAGCTGGAGACAGCAGCTCGTGTGGGTGAGGTGGCCACAGGAACAGGAGGTGGCTGGGCCCAGGGAGGGCCGAAAACTGCTGAGCTGGGGCACAGCACAAGAGAGTGAGGAGACAAAGGGAGAAAGGAGGGGGGGGGAATGAACATAGGGATGTGGAGCTGGGAGGCACCACCTTCTCCACTCCATATCCTGAGGCCTCAGCCAGCAGAAGCATCTGGCTGCTTCATGGTCATGACAGCATTACTGCTTTGGGGATAAATGACACTGATCAGAGATTCCTGTTAAATACCAACCTGAGGGTCAGTCAGGTTAACTGGAGTCTGCAGCCTGGAGGCATCCCTTATGGACACAGGGCGCCAGGCCATACAGAGTGCCCTCTCCATCAGAAGCAAATGCTGCGCACGAAATAATGAGCAGGCGGCATTTGTCCACCTGCTGGGCTCTCTCCTCTGTGAACAGGGAAAAAGTGTGCTCTACTGTGTTTTCTACAATATATGCAGAGTTAATCTTAGCCCTGCTATTCTGGTTGAAAGAATTCTTTGTTGCCTTAGAAGACAGCAGCATGATGTCTTAGAGCAGGCTGTTTGCAGGCTGCAGCCCCTGATGACAGGCAGAACATGAGGCTGCACAGGACTAACCCTCTTCTGCATCCTTCTTGTTTTGCCTCAGACTCAGGAATGGGCTCCTGCACAACCACCAATGGCTGGCACTGCAGAGAGGTACCCAGGTGATGAGGAGAGCTGTGGTGGACCATCTCTAACGAGAGTTTTTCCCTTGCAGTGTGTTCCATGGGAAACAGCACCAGCCGGCTCTACAGCGTGCTCGCCAAGACGCTGACCAGTGGCGCCGTGTCCCAGCACCAGGACTGCCTGGAGCAGCTGGACTCAGCACAGCTGGATCCCATAGACCCCAAGGATTTGCTGGAGGAATGTCAGATCGTTCTGCAGAAGCGACCACCCCGGTTCCAGAGGAACTTTGTGAACCTGAAGAAAAACACCGGCAGTAACCACCGCCCCATCCGGGTCATGCAGTGGAACATCCTCGCCCAAGGTAGGAGATGCTTGTGAGCTCAAGGTGTGAGCTCGAGATCAAATGCAGCCATGAAAACCCTGGCAGAGCAAAGGGAGAGAGGAGTGAACTCCTCTACATGAGACACAACTGACTGAGGGCCAGGGGGGAGTATTTTGAGCTCTTGAAATAGTGGCTTTCCTTCTGTCCCACAGGAAAGGAAAAAAAAGGTCTCTCCTTGCAACTCTGATGCCAAAGATAGCCCCAAATCCTGTCTTAACTGAACAGTGTATTCTAAAAGCTGTGACCCATCGGTTTTAGATGGTTGTTAACCCCAGAGAAAACCGATCTTTTTCCTAAGTTTTATTTGTGACGTTTCTCTTCAGTTTCTGATTACCTTATTGGTGAGCTGTCCATAAATTCAGAGCTGCTACGGGAATTCTTAATGCTTAAAAATAATTTTAACTGCTGGTTTTGAATCAAGGCTGTAAGTTGACGACTGCAGCAGCCTCATCTTAAAATCTTTTGGGTGTGGGAAATTTCCCTCATAGGGACTGCCTTAACCTTCTGCAGTCTCTTTTAACCCACTTCATTTTATTTTGGCTTATGCTGCAGCAGCCACACGTGGGAGTACTTGCCCTTGCGTAGTGGGCAGAGGGGGGGAAAGTCTTAATCTATCTTTTATCTGTAAAAGGAACTTAATTTTTTTGAGCGGCTCCAGTGACTTGAGATGGGGTTCTCACACCTACTGGCAAATCTGGTACCCTTAGAGTCACCAGCATCTAAACTGATAAAACCTGGACGATGACAGGCTGTTTCAGCTATCATTAACTTTTGGGTTTTTTGTTTACCCTCCCTGCTAATTCCAGCTCTCGGGGAAGGCAAAGACAACTTTGTCCAGTGCCCCATGGAAGCTCTGAAGTGGGAGGAGAGGAAGTGCCTCATACTGGAGGAAATCCTTGCGTACAAGCCCGACATCTTGTGCCTTCAGGAAGTCGACCACTACTTCGACACCTTTGAGCCGCTCCTCAGCCGCCTGGGCTACCAGTGCACGTTCTTCCCGAAGCCGTGGTCGCCGTGCCTGGACGTGGAGCACAACAACGGCCCGGACGGCTGCGCCATATTCTTCCTCAAGGAGCGCTTCGAGCTCGTCAGCAGCGCCAACATCCGCCTCACCGCCATGAAGCTGAAGACCAACCAGGTGGCCATCGCTCAGACGCTCAAGTGCCACGAGACCGGCCGGCTCTTCTGCATCGCCGTCACCCACCTGAAGGCCCGCACGGGCTGGGAGAGGTTCCGCTCTGCTCAGGGCTGTGACCTCCTCCAGAACCTCAAGAACATCACCCAGGGAGCAAAGATCCCTCTGATTGTCTGCGGGGACTTCAATGCGGAGCCAACCGAGGAGGTCTACAGGGAGTTCTCCAACTCCAGCCTCAATCTGAACAGTGCGTACAAGCTGCTGAGCCCCGATGGACAGACGGAGCCCCCCTACACCACCTGGAAGATCCGGCCCTCTGGAGAGTGCCGGCACACGCTGGATTACATCTGGTACTCCCAGCATGCCTTGAATGTGAACTCAGCCCTGGGCTTGCTGACTGAAGAGCAAATTGGGCCCAACAGGCTGCCCTCATTCAATTACCCTTCCGATCACCTGTCCCTTGTGTGTGACTTTAGTTTCAATCAGGACCCTGACAGACTGCTGTAATGTCCCGGAATGCCAGCTGCTATTGCAGTGTCTGAACTCTCCAGTCTTTTATTTTAGAGAAAACCTTTGAAGCTAGATGCTGTTGAAAGATGAGGAAATACTGTTGACTAACCATTATTTCAGGCACTTGTTTGGAGTTACACTTGCTGTTCAGCCCTCATTAATGTGCAGCCTTCGAGGGAGGAAGAAGGAAGCCAGTGTTCTCATCATACTCTTCTTGCCGCTTCAGGGTTGGAAAACTAGAAGGCAAATGGCTTTATTCTTTCACTAAGCCCCCTGTTTTAAGGATTTAATCCTCTAATGAATGTGGAGGCCTTAGTATTTAAATCAAAACATCTTGCCCTGACAGCATGCTGATTTTATTTATTTCATATTAAGCTTCTGCAAGTACCAAAGGGAGTGAGGTTCAACTACCCAGTGAGATTACCTTAAATCTTTTTCTGTTGCAATACGAAGGAAGTTTAATGCAGTTTAGACAAAAAACTAAGCTCATAATAGTGTGGTCTTGTAATTTTTCCATGACTTGAGATGACAAATTCATGACAAGTGTGAGGAAGGACCCCTCCAGTAAGAGCAGGTGAGGAAAGAGAGGCTGACTATGACCTAGAGTAATGCCCTCACTTTTCTAGAGCAATGTGCATGTATCTGTCACACACATACAGCCTCTAGGCTGTCCAGTGACTGTACCTTCATCTCTTCTGTGCTTCCCTCTGGAGGACACAACTAAGCAGGGACTATTTCTTCCTCTGAGTATTACTTTTCTAAATGGTTTAAATTTGTAGTCTTGTCAATCTTGCTGTTTCAGTAAAAGGCCAGTCTTAATATTGAAAGATTTTCTTCTATTTATCTTCAGAATCTAAAGCTACACTGGAACCTGTTATAAGATCAAATTTATTTATTGAGAGAAGTTGGTGATCCTGCATCTGATTGGAAAGCATGGAGTGACAGTGTTTAGGAGCCTCTTCCTGTGACCCAGAGAAACTCTGGCAAAGCATCTGGGCTACAGCAGAGGTGTGTTAGTGCAGTAACTCCTGTGATGCTCACTGCTGACATAGGAATTGCATATATGGGTTGTAAACATGCCATTATGCCAGAAAATAGCATAGAGAGGGGGGAAGAGGGACAACAGTTGGAGTTGTACTGACACTTAGATAGTTGAGGAAGACATGGCAGGGCAAATAAAGCAGTATTTCCATGTGAAGTAGGGTGCATAGTAACTCTTAAATGTTCCAGCTGTTTGTTAATAAAACTCTTTGGAAAAAAGTAATGTCTTGGCTGCTGTCTTTCTCACTTTGCTGTCTCAAGTTCCTGTTCCCAGGGAGGTGACCTGTCTCAACTAGTTTGAGCTTCAAGTTGGTGCTGATGCTTCCTCTTCCAAAGCTCTTTTTTCCCACCCCAACCCTGGTCTCAGAGTGGCATGGCTGCTTTGCCTTCACAGCACACACTCTTTGTCCAGCTTGGAATGTCCAAATTTCACAAGTCTGAAAGGAAGGGAGTTATTCTTAGCTGTTAAGCTGCTCACTCTTCTAGTTAGAGAGGAAACCTACACTGTATTACTGTAAATATTCCCCTCTCCATAAGTGTTTGTTAGTTAACATCTGTAGTCATCTGCAGCTAAACACTTCTAAAATCAACATCACAATAAGACCTATAAGATGGAACGTTGAGTAGGTCAAATCCTTGCTCATCTACCACGAAAAAGCCACACCAGAAGCTGGAGCTTCCATCCAGACTCCTTTTGGCAGTTTCATTTCTCTGGAAGAAACTATACTTGTGGTAGAAAGCCCTGACTTGAGAGCAAATATCAGGTCTGTATTTAAAAACAAACTACACCATAATCAAAAAACCCCACCACTCCCACCGAACATGAAATCACTCCATGATTTCATTTCACTTTTGTACAAGTAGCTTCATTTTCCTCAGGCCAGCCAAAGTGTCCATCAGTGTGGGCCCCTTTCCCACTTCCAGAGCATAGAGCCACAGACCCAATTATGGGAGGCTTTTTACCAGCAGGAGCTGAACTATCCCAGCTGCAGAATTCCCACTGTCACTCTCACAGTGGAGTATATGGCATCTATGATTCTTAAGACATTTTGATTTATACCCTTGTTTGCATCCCATGCTTAATTCTCCTAAACAAGAAATCAAACTGGTGAGAAAGAGCATGATTTGTATGGTACTGCCATCACTGCAGAACCTCTGATGAAGTGGAAAGGGCTGGGATTCTTCCATCCTGGACACGTTACAGTAGATGTTCAGTGCTTCAACTCCTTAAAGGGTAATTTTGAAGGCAAGGGGGGGTGGAATAACTGAAAAGGCTGGAGACTCTTCCCATCTCAATGCAATACTGTCCTCTCAGAAAATCCCTGCTACAGTGCAATGTTGAACCCTCTCTGCTGCATTTTAATGAAAAGGTAGATAGGCTGCAGAAATTAACTGCTAAGTTCCCAGGCAGCTTCACCCTTTTATTCCAGTACATGCCATAATTTATTTGGCAGACTCTTTTGGGAAAAATTAAATGGATTATTGCTTTTGCTTTGTTTTATGCAGTGAGAGACAAGCCTGCAGCACTGAAATACTTTTGCCAGCTATAAATATCAGTACACTAAATATTTTTCAGAAGAAGCAGAAAGGATTTTTTTTTCCTGTGTAGCAGTATGACTCTTAACAATAAAAAATATCTTCCAAGCTCTCCTTGTGAATGTATGCCTTATAAGCACACCAAGGCTAAAAAAAGGCTCCACAGATCCCTTGCTTTCATCTTGAATAAAGGCTGCCTTAGCTTTAGCAGTGACACTTTTCCCTCACTCTCAAGCAAGCTGCAGGAAGAAATGACCCACTTGTTTAATTTGTGAGAAGCAGAAGCTGCTGCAAGCTTATTAAAACACTATCTCTCCTGGAGAACAATTAGATCCCAAATACATAGTGTCATTTGGATCTTCCTAATAAGCTTAACACCTGCTATTTGAACTGTCTCTACAAGGCAGAATTGCACTTGGCTTGTTCTGGCAGTAGCAATCTTCACATGTAGCTGAGATCCCTGCTGCACACGTGCTGAGTACCCGCTTGAGGCTTCAAGCGCCTCTCCATTTTCTCCTCAACTTCTGACTGCCCCTGGCTCACTCATCCCTGATCACCTCAGACGGAACTCCCCAAAGCCCTAAAGTTGATGAAATCAATTAGCAGAGGATCCCAAGTTCAGCCTTCCTTTCAGCACACTCTACCCAGAGTTGTGCCAAGGCCCAGGCCCCTTCACTGGGAAAGATATGCAAGAGAGAGCTAACAAAACCAGTTGTCTCTAGAATGGGATTCTCCTCTCAACTTTTCTCATTTTTGATACTCAGACATTTATTCTGAGTTACAAATTACAGCTGAGGTATTTTTCCCTTCTGGATTACACATCACTCTTTTAATTCTATAACTTAAAATAGTGGGTTTGAAAAATAAAAATAGTTCTTATCTGCAGAATCAGTGGTACCAAGTCTGTGTGTGTCTCAATGCCTTCTGTATAAAGCATACTCACTTCACACAAGTTTCATTCTACCCACACATCTACGAGTTTCTGCTTGCCAAGGATGAGTTAAGCCTGGCCCCTACATGAACCACCAGATTCAGATGTAAAAGGGAATCCTGCTTTCACCCATGTACCAAACAACAGGTTTTTCAATGGGATTTCAAAAGCCTGGGAGTACAGATAGATACTAAACTAACCACTTCAATATTCTAGTGTTCCTTTCATCTGTTTCAAATGTCACAAACCCGACCAAGGCTCCCTCATCCTGAGGCCACGTCCTCCAACACCACCAGCAAAAACATCCCTATTGACAGCATCAGGGTAAGCCCCCTCTCCATTTCAGTTACAGCACATCCTCACAGACTGAGATTCTCACAGCACTGCATGAACTCCAGTGTGCCACTCGCTGGTGGCCAGGGGAGAGAGCCAAAGGATCATCACTGGCTCCGTGGCAACACGCAGCACTGGCAGTGTCTCCGAGCTGCCTACCCCACCAGCAGGGGAGCTGGGTGCCTTCATTCCTCCAGTTTTTGCCATTACATAATGAAGTCTTGGCATTACAAGAAGGTCATCAGCTGGAGATCCTTATCTAATTCCAGGAAGACAGTTTGTCCCCATTTGACTTCCACTGTATCTAAATTAGGTGTTGGAAAGGTCTTAATTACAAATACTCGACATAGATACTTCATGCTCTGAGATACAATCAAGTAACAGCCATCTAGAATTGGGTTTCTTAAGAGACTGGACTTGCAACAGAAACTTTAAAAACGCTGGTTTCTCTCATCTTTTAGCTCAGATCTGTACCACCACCTGCCTCTCTTTACACTGCTCCATTTCCCTTTACTCAGAACATTAGTGCCTCAGACTGTCAGATTAATCGAGTGATTGCCCAGCTTCCCCTACTTCCCTTTCCTACCTTTCTTAGGAAAAAAGTCATCTTCTCTCTCCATGTCCTTGTGTGAAGGGCTCTTAGTTCTCTACCCCATGCCAGAAACACAGTTCATGTATAAGAACTTTTGATTCTCTGGATTGCTGCCTTACACTCACTTTTTTATTGGCTTCAGCTTCATTTTGCTCCTCAACTCCACTTCCCTGCTGAAGAGAATGAAAAGTAATTGTTTTTCCAGAAGCCTTTCATAGTCCCCCCCAGTGCTGGCCTGGCTGTGTGGAGATATTTCCACTTTTCTTACCAGTTGAAGGGAAGAATGGGCCTTGCTGCTTGGACTCCACAAGTAACCTGCTTCTCAGCATGTAAAGTATTTAATTCTGGTGTCTCTCAGCATTACAGAAGGCCTCAGCTCCAGACAGCTGTTAAAATTGCTCTGACAGCTGTTAAAATTGCTCCTCCAGGCATGAAGTATCTAGATGATGATTCAGACTTCAATTAAATTTCAAGATTACCGAAGTTCCTGCCCTGAAGACTTTTCAAGGCATATCACTAGGAACTGGGGGTCCATTGGCTACCTGACTACTCAGGTACTCATGTGCTGTGACTACCATGACTACCCACAGCCTGATGTGCCAGTGTGGTGCCCCTGAAATTAGGGTAAGCTACACTTCAAGCCGTGCAGATGGACTGGAAATACAGATCCACCATCAGGTGTAGCTGGAGGAGCAGTTGGGTAGCTCACAGAGCCCATGTGTATGACCACCATACTGAAAACATCGAGGAACTGGACCCCTGCCAGAAGTTACCTCACCAGCTACTGCAAGCTCCACAGGTATTTACACAAATGAGTGAGAGAGCTGGTCAGCCCTTTGAAGCAGGGAGGAGTCCCAAAATTTCACACTGTATCATCTATATTAGGATGAATGC